TTTTGGTTATCCTTTTGGTTATCCTTTTGGTTATCCTTTTGGTTATCCTTTTGGTTATCCTTTTTTTTGGTTATCCTTTTGGCTACATCCGATATCGGTACCTTGCAAGCAGTGGATGTCCACTTCAAATTTGATAATGATGCAAATCTCACTGGTGCTACATTGTTCACCAGAGCTTCAAAGGAAGCTCAACAGAAACATTCAGCCTTATGCACCTTATCCGAAAAGTTGATATGTCCTGTATTTACACTGCTTACTTTCATGGAAAAAAACAGAACATTTACGTTCAGAGTTCCCAGACGATCACACGCTAATAATCCCAACAAAATACGATCCACTCAACCAAGCACAGTTGCAGATATTGTCAAACAAGTTATGCAAGAGGCTGGCATCGATACACAGGTATATGGGCCTCACTCACTTCGTTCAGCATCAAGCACAAAAGCTGTCCAATTGGGTCACAAGACAGACGACGTAAAAAAACATGCAAATTGGAGTCTCTCCGCAGACACTTTCGAACGATTTTATTTCAAACCACTTCATCAAGAGAGGACAAGTCAACATATAATGGGTTCAGTTTTTTCTTCTTCTGAGAACAGTACCACATCTTTCGTCTCCATTTCAGCAGCTGTACGATACGTGTTTGCCACCACTCACCATGCCAGAAGCAATGCCAGTGTTACTGATAAATCGCTGCTTTGAAATGGAAGCATGTGATAAATCGTTCGCCACTGCTCAAAACTTTCCCAGACACTTGACCAATTCTTACCATTACGCATTCCCTAAACGGCTCAACAAAATGCGACAGGTTAGTAATAAATAGTTCTGGTTTTTGAAGGAAGGCGTCCAGGATGAGTCAGTTAAAACGCATTACGCATGCCCCTGTTGTGTCGCCCACTTTGGCCATCTCGTTGCTCTCCATGATCATTTTTACACTGACCACCATGACTATGTTCCTTCTCCCCAAGAGTCCAACAATGGAACCCCTGCCTCCGCCAATGGTAAACTACATGGTGAGCCTGCTCTCTTGGAAACAATCAGCAATGACGCCACCATTGATAATGACCGTGACGCCGCCATTGATCACGGCAATGACACCACCAACTAATCCAACAACCTTCATCAGGGTGGCACTTCTGTCAAGCGCTCTCACGATGAACTGCTCACTCTTGATTTATCCTTTGGTCCTCCACTTGGTAAGCATTTGATGGCCGGTGACTTTGATACCTCTGAAGCTTTGTACAAAATGCAAAGCTTCCTTAAGCAGTACAAGTGGAAAGTGTCTCTCGAAGGTCATGTGCTGACCCCCAACAAGTATCCGGACGAAGTAAAGCCCTTCTTTGATCTCAAGGACTGGAATACGACAATCAGCTCGATCAAAACGACATGCAATATTCAACACCTCCGATGCCCTTGAACATAGTTGGTGATTTACTTGGAATCTTGGATAAGTTGATCAAGGGTAGCCTCAACAGGATACAGGCAGAAATGTCCTTGAAATCACTGGCTCAGGGCAGCAACGAATTCAAGTTTGCCAAATCTTTGAACATGCTGGTCACTAGGTTGCCGAGGCTCCACATAGAGGAAGATGTCAATGAGACCAGACTATGCATGCGCTTTGTAGACCCATTCTTGACTGGGCTATTTGACGATTCTGACAGTGGCGTGTACCCAAGATGAAAAAATGAAACTACCATGGAGGCCAAGCAAAGCAATGGCTGCATCGACCGTCGCCCAGGCCTATGCACTGCCAAGTCATGTGGTGTAAAGTGAGGTGCCGATTGTGGATATGGTGAAGCGAAACCAGCTGCACGAGACGGTGACCATTATTTGGTGTGCATAGACTTGGTTAGAATGACCGTCCTCTCCAAAGAGGCTCTTAACAAACAGTGCTTGGATGGCGTCCTGGGCATCCAGATTGTGGGCCGAACTCTAATGTTCTACGTTTTGCTACTGCCTGCAGAAGGCATTTACACGTTGCTACAACTGGCAGAAGTCAAGATCCCGGACAGTCTGCAGAGTCCATCGTATCTTGTCATGGATGTATCGAATACCTTGTCTATGATAGGCGTCTTTGATCGCCTGTGTGTGTGCTCCAATAACCAACAGATTATCATTGATCGCAAGACGCCCACCGTACCTTTGTATGTGCTTCAACAAATTATTTTCTATATCAAAGGATCGAAAGCGACAATGCCATCTCAAACGTCGACATAATTAGTATTAACCCCCATTTATCGATTTATACCAATACCATCGCTAGCAAAATATCTTAGTCTATGCCTCTCCAGATAAAAAAATATACCAACACAACTTTCTTTTTTTTTTCCAGAGAATGTTTGGCAATATTTGCTTTAGAAATCATCTGTGCTTCGACACACCTCACAGCTCCTTACAAAACAACATGCCATCTATTGCCTCGACATGCGTCACCGTCTACAAACACCGACGTCTATAACTGATCCTCTGTCCCTTCTTTTAAATAAGCTTCCCACTCGAAAGCCACGCTCTTTTCAAACAAGATCGTTTTGGACTATCAGATGGCCCGTAATTTGCACTATCTTACATGAGCTTGATCGCTTATACCATGAAAAAGAGCCACCATCACCATCTGACCCAGGGCAGAGACTGCTTAACTGGTTATTTAATTCTTCATAGCAATGTTTTTAACACTTGTTCCGTGAATCTGTCAGTCAAAGCATTTTTGCCCTCGAGCCCAGAGGGATTTTTAGATACTGCCTCACAACTTGAACTGGCCAGGGCAAAAACGATATAATAAAAATATCACGTGCCCCTTATGGCCTTTATATTTTATAAATAACAAATAAAATTGTTTAACCGTAAAGAATCTTTTTTCTTGCAGTAATTTAATGCAAGAAAACGTAATTATTCGAACATCTCTTTTCTTAATGTTATTAACCAACTTATAGGAAGGCTCTGATACTCCACGTGAAGTTAGCTTAGGACCAGATCATGAATTTCGATTTGAAGTTGATTTCAACAAGAAAGCAACTGTCAAATTAACCAAGGGTACTGCAGAAATATTTGGTACTGAACTTGCCATTGGCGTCGAATACACATTTAGTGGACGTAAAACTGCCGTATATACATGGCATGGTTGTACGTTGGAAGTAAAAGGTCAATTTTCAGTAGAATATACAGCCAATGAGACACCCATGACAAGTTATCTAAATACACACTTGGCACTTGAGCAACTTCGACAAAAAATGAAAAAAGAGAAAGAGTTGGGCCCTCGTGTACTTGTGATAGGGCCTCATGATGTAGGAAAGACGTCGCTCTGTAAGATACTGATGAGCTATTCCCTTCGACAAGGTGGTACTCCAATCTATGTTTCATTAGATACATCAGAGGTAAGTGATCATATCAGAAACTTAAAAGAGAAAGAGCACTCACGTTTTTTTCAAAGGGATCTATTACAATGCCAGGCGCTGTTACTGCAACCTGTATCAATCATATCATTGATGTAGAAGAAGGCTTTGGTTCATCTGCAACTACAGCAGCGTCTATGGGATCAGCGACAACACCTTTAGTATACTACTATGGATTCGAGAGCCCAGCAGAGAATGTGAAATTGTATAAGCTGGTTTTATCCAAATTGGCAGAGGCTGTGAAAAGCAGAATGGCCGTAGATGAAGAGTGCCGTACATCTGGGATCATTATAGATACATCTGGTCTAGTAGACCAAATAGGATATGAAACAATCCAGCATACTATAGAAGAGTTTTCAGGTATGTCTAAAGATGCATATAAATCATTGATTCAGCTAATCTCTTTATAGTGAATGTCGTAATTGTCTTGGGTCATGAAAGACTTTACAGTGACATGAATAGATTATTGAGCAATAGGAAACCCAATATTTCAATCATTAAACTAGCAAAGTCTGGAGGTGTTGTAGAACGTGATAGAGAATACAAGTCGATGCTTCAGAGAACCAAGATTCATGAGTATTTTTATGGTACACCCAAATGTGAGCTATTACCTTACAGTATGTTGGTGAACTATGATGATATCAAGATTTGGAGAGTTGGTGATGTAATTGCGCCATCTAGTGCACTTCCTTTAGGCATGGAAGGCAGTTCAAATGAAACACAGATTGTTAAAGTAGATAGTTACGATATGTGTTTACACTCGATTCTAGCCATATTGAATGCTCCACCTGATGAACACGAAAATAAGTTATTAGAAAGCAATGTTGTAGGATTTATTTATGTGTAAGTTAATCAAAATATTTCTATTTATAAAATGATAATAATGATGACTATAGATCTGATGTGAATGATGAAAAGAGAAAGCTGACTATATTATCACCTTCACCAGGAAGATTACCCAAGAAGCATCTCTTGATGGGAGTCTTTAAATGGATGGAGGCTTGATTGTAAATAATAAAGATTTATTCCTATTGATACATACAATTTATTTGTCAAAAGAGAATGCTAAAATGAAGTAAAAGAATAAGGTGATTGTGTGATATGATGTGTATAAATATGTTATTTATTATAGCTGGTCAGGCAAATCAAATGGAAATTGCTGTTGTTGTTGTTGTTGTTGCTCATCACGTCTTGATTTAGTTCGTTTGAATGGTGGTTCATTATTATTATTACTATTATTATATATATCCATATTCATAGATCTTCCCATAAACATGAGTTCATTAGGTCCAAATCTACGTTTCATTCCATCATTTACAATATTGTTATTCTGATCCCATAATCCTTCCATTGGCCTCATATTAGGTATATCATGTGTAAACGTAAACTGGGTATGAGGATCAATCTGAAATGGATTATTCATCATTTTTTGTTGCTGTATATCTTCTATTTTTTGTGAATGGTTGCTATTTGTATGTTGTGCATTATGGCTATGATTGTTATTATGACCAGCAATTGAGACATTACAAGTCATTTCTGCATTGAGTTGATTATTTCTTTGTCTTGCAAAATAGAGTACCTCCTGTACAGGAACATATCCATTCTCTGGATGTTTGCTAATAAATTCATACAAATCTTGTAATGCTTGTTGATATCCTGCTGCATACGCTTTTCTGTTTTGTACAAGAGAATCTTTGTATAGCGTAGTGACCTTCAAGGCTGCTGCTTTGAAGGAATCCATCAAGGCATTCTCAGTTGATTCATATGAATCAAGAATGTTATGTGTTGATCGTTCCATTACACGAAACTTTCTATTATTTTTTTATGTACAAAGTATCAAGGAAAAAAGAAAAAAAGGTAAAGAAAAAAATTTATTGGTTAATACACTTTTTTCGGAAAGTGAAGTTGCCCCTCTTCTGGAGTGAATGTTGCGAGTCAGCCGTCCAGCTGATTCATATTCACCATATCGTACCTCCTTCAAGAGCGCCCCCTTCCCATTTGGATTTCGCCTTTTATCCAAAACCTTGATAGACTAAAAGATGTGAGATTCTTTTTGACTTACACTGTTGCTGTTTCCTTTCAATGTTTTAACTATTTTCATGGTTCCATTCAACCCCTGTTAGCCCAGCTACATGCGTATACACCGTTGGAAGTGGCAAGCTCACACTAACAGAAGCAGCATATATCAGTAGGTATCAATTGATATATAGCTAATCAGGATACCTTTTGCACCATATAGGCTCGATCACTGCGCTCTATTAATCTCTTAACAAAGATTTAGTGCCTGACAAAGCATGCACAGAAACTATGGGAAGGACTAAAAAAAGAATTAGCACCCATTTGAGTTACCGTCACAGGCCATAGAATATGTTTTCAAAAGGTGTTATCTTATATTCGAACTACATACACCAAACCCCATTTCAACTAAATGCGCGTTGACAATGGATAAAGATTTGCATACAACAGGTGGTAGCCTTATTGATGAAGAGAGAAGGAGCTCAAATTTGATGCTTTGAAAATATTTGAACTCTGTCCCTTTGTTGTGTCTTTGTAGTACATGGCTCAGCTTGATGCTCCTCTGCTACTCATTCTGCTTCTAACATCAAGCGTCTTCATATTGCCTCCTCCACGTCAAGTTCCACAACTGATTCAGATATCGTCGCTGCCTTTCTCATTACTTTGAAGCGTATTGATAATAATAGCGCTACTGCTTTCATTTTGGCCAACCCTTCGACGTAGGGCATAATTAGGACATTCCACATCTTCACATCTAAACACGTTCTCCCATTCTTTCCTTCAATAAAATGGAGATCAACATTGATCCTATGGACAATGCTTAGGTATTGTCCAGAACGTTTTATGCACCATTTCTGCTATTAAGCAACTGATGTCTCTGTTTTTGAATGTATTGACTACCTGAGATCATTGTTTCACTAGTAGATTGCTTCATCAGCATATTTTATTTGTATGATAACATATCGGCTACAAAAAGGTATCTATTCATCTATGCAGCAAGTGAAAAAGGGAAATAGAATAATTAATATGTAACGTATGATATCTTTTGAAGCCCCACTTTGAGCAAGCAGAGTAGCTCGCTCAGTAAAGCGCGTCTTTTTTGAATAGCTGATGTGTCTTTATGCATTCTTGAGATTTGACCAAAACCTTTCAACACTTATGCACATAAAAAAGCATTATTTATTGATTAAGTTTGGCCACCACATCCTAAAGTGTCGCTGCTCTTGAAAGTAATAATTCATACCTTTATTCATCATTATAGAAACAGAGTAGCTACACGAATGTGCTTAAGTTCTAGACTGTTTAGTTGGTATTAAAGAAGCACCCTTTAATGTTATAGTAAAATACGTCCTTTTTTCAAATAAATTAGATCGAACAACACTGTTAAACCTATTTAACTTTATTATTTATTCGTTCACTTATTTAAAGTACACTGTTATGGAATATGTTTATAAATAAAAGCATGCTTCCTATCAGCAAAAAATTTATACAACCAATTCTGACTCAGGATCTTCCTTTTTTGTCTTTCGAGATCACAGATGTAAACAGACAAAAAAGTATAAAAGGTCTTTTTTCGCTTTTTTTTTTTTTTTTTTTTTTTTTTTCTTTCTTTCTTTCTTTCTTTCAAGCTTTTCCGGCTTGCCCCAATTTTGATAGTAACCTTTATGATGCTTGAAGAAGTAGGCAGCGTTTCTCTCAGAAGGGAGGGATTAGCTTATCAAACTTTTTATAAAGTTACTTTAGTGACTGTTTTATTACTTCGGAAACGCTGCCCCTTGTGATCGTAGCTACAATGCAACAGGGTGAACTATAAACTAATGTAAATGAAAAAAATCTTAATGATTACTAGTAACTAAGTTATGAATTGGTTGTCATGGCAAGTTTCGTTTCACACAATGTCTATCCAGTACATAGAGTATACGCAGTGCAGTCAGTAAGAGTGAGCTGTCTTAACAATAGATCCTCCTTTCATTATAGAACAGAGAGATGAAAGTGCAAACACACAATCAAAAGATGATTGTACTTACGGGCATCTCAGAGTCTGTCTAAATGTGCAGCGTTTTGTAAACACGCTTGGAAACACTAGTCAACTGCTTGTTTTCAGAAATGATACATTAAGTTACTGACGACACTCTTTATTCATAATTGTTGAATACAAATGGATTATTTGTATACTAAAGAACAGTGCTTTATTTAATGAAATATCCTGTGGTTTTACTTGACTACTTGCTCTAAATAAAGCCTTTATTACTCGTTAATAACGCATAGAAACAAAAACATTGAGACAGAAATGTGTGTAAAAAGAACTATCAAGTTTATTAAAGTTTTATTATACTTTGACAGTATGAATCCTTAAAGTTGATTATTGCGTTGATGATACTCATCAGATGCTTGATCAGGAATAGTGTTACTGAGGTCGACAGAGGAACCTTAATCCTCGGTGCTTCCAACATCAAGAGGACCTGCAGCATCAGGAGACATTGCAGTTGGGTCAACAGCTTGAAGATCTGATCCAGTCGGAGGAAGAAATAGGCTATCAGCACTTGGATCAGCAACTCGAAGATTTAGACCACCAAGAGCACCAGGAGGAGGAAAAGCAGGAGGAGGAGCAGCAAAGCCAATAACGACAAGAGAAGCGCAGATAGTAAGAATAACAAGCTTGATTTGCATTTGAGTAAAAAAGTATAAAAGCCAAAGAACTGTCGTATTCTCTCTTTTTTTACGTAAAATATTGCCCTTCTTTTATATTAGATTCATGTAGACACCGTTGTCACGACTGTTTACTATTGGCTGTAAGCACATTTGACTAATCTTGGTTAAATGGACGTGTTTATTTCTCTCTCTGTGTTTTGTTGGTCGCTTATTCATAAATGCATAACCTACAGGAAGCATATTTGTTGTATATACGTATTAATGTGTTTGAACTAATGAAATGGCTCTGGCTTAAGAGATAATCAACACATGTAAACAGGCTAATATAATATTTTCCATCTGCATAAATAGATTTCTCTCTGTGTTCTTATCAATAATAATTGCAGGCGCTTGACTATTTTTAAAGCTAGGGCTTTGGTAGTTATCCATTTATTACTTATAATGACTGATTTAGCCAATAATCAAGTCTAATAGTGCAGTCGTACAATTGGTGGAAGCCTTTTGAGGACAATTCATACGTATAATCATTAATGAAGGGATGGCAATACTGATTGAACCACTAATTGGTAGAAACCAATTTTAAGAAAATTGATGTTTTACACTAATAACTCTTCCTGATACACTATCATGTGGGCCAAACCCAGCGCCTTATGCTGACATTAATCATTCATTACAAAAGAATATATCTTTGCAATAATGATAATATCAACCTAAGTTTTAGTGGTACGGAGAGAATTTGTGTATACTGTGAAATACGCCTAGCGCCAATATGCTTTAAATGTAAACAGCTCAGAAGAATACGGTTCTATCTTTACCATCTTGTGATATGATACACATTTACCCTTAAAGACATTTTTGACCAGAGTCTTTTCTTATGGATATCTCTTTCAAAAAAAAGGGGGTTATTTATTTAAATAAGTTAAGCATGAAGCGATCGATGATGTAATGCCTTGTGCTTGATCCATTTTTTGAATTTATTGTGATGGCCGACAACGGGTGATATACATGGTGTAGATGCTTGAGTTTCCTCTTTAGGTGGCAAGGGTGGAGGAATTGGTGAAGACGTGGACGAGGATAGTGTCATTTTATTTTCAAAATCAGTATACATGTGCGTTTGGGAGGCAGCACCCCAGCTCATTGAATCCCTTAAAGTTGATCTTTGGTAATGACGTCGACAGCTGATTGCCGTTTCTCTCTTTTGAATTGCCTTCACTTTCAATATTTCTCTCATTGCATAAAGACCAACTGTCTTTACGTGAAGAGAGGATACTGGATCCATAAGAGGTAGGCATCGCATCAAGGTGCACCAATGTGTATATTGACTGTCTAACACATCATCTATATCACAAGGAATTGATCGAAAAGGTTCAAGGGGCTCTGGCCATGGTACGCCATCGGCCGTTGATACGTTACTCAGAGAAGAGCAACACTTGTTGGAGCATTTTTGCAATCCATCCATATCTTCTAGTTTCTGAAGTAAGGCACCATAGTTTTGAGGTACTTGAGATGCCCAGGGATCGACAGTAATCGGATGGATTTGAAAAGGAAAAGACTGCGACTGTGATTGCAACTGCTGCTGCTGTTGTTGTTGCTGATGGTGATGTTGATGACCATTGGTTTCTACCAAATCATCCACTTGAGTAGATAGTCTTTTTACAAGGTTAGCCAAATCGTATAGCGATACGTTCTCTGGTGTCGAAGGAGACACTTTGTTCTTCTTTCTACTCAATTTTTTTGCTGCAGATAGCATGTTTAAAAAGAAGAAGAAATAATTTATTGATATTAAGACTGATGTTGATTTTACTTAAATATGAAATGACGAGTGCGTTCATACATGCTTGTATATATATGTATATATAATGTGTGTGTGTATGTGTATGTGTGTTGAGAAAATTTTATTGTTAGTAATTGCTGATATGGAGAATGTTTCTCTTTTTATTCTGCCATAGGTGTATCCAAAACAATACCCTCCTCTTCATCTTCATCCTCATCTTCACTCTTTCTTTCATGAAATCTATGACTTGTGTATTTCTTATCGTCTTGCTCTGGCTTTACTTGTTCATCTTCTGATAGAATATCGCCTTCTTCATCCGATGATGCATATCCTCTTTCCATATCCATTACCATTCTCTTATCGTCAGTCTAAAAATATGTGTTTAAAACAAGCATTCATCACACCTTTCTCTTCTTCTTACCATCATTGCTCTTTCCTCTTCAACTGATCTTTGTAAATCCTTCAGGTTTTGTACTGCCTGTGACAGGTTCTTCTTGCGGTTTTCCAAGGCAATCAGTTTATTGATCTTTTCTCTTTGTAATACTTCAATCTCCTTCTTTAATTGTGTTATAGACCTTTTTAAAAGATGAGTTAAAAAAGCAAATGTAAATGAATATCAATTTACTCTGTATATGCGTCTCTAGTATCCAATTTCATAATCTCTCTTGCTACTCTATCATATTCTAATTTATGGTTTCGTATCTTTTGAGCAGCCAACAGATCTTGTTTTAAACTAACAATATCCCTCATAGCCTCCCTTTGCGCCACCGCTATGGGACAAGAAGTTAGAGAGGGTATATGTATACATGCTTTTTTTTACCTGTTCTTTCTACTATCGCGTTATATTCATTAATATCCTTGACGTTAACATGTTCAATTATTGGATTTCGTTCAAGGTTTGTTTGATAGCTTAGTAACTGAATTAAAATATTTTCAAATGAATGTTGTCTATAAAGCAAAAAAAAAAAAGGGGGGGTTATTGAGTTGTTTAGAAACGAAGGATATTTTCTAATTACGCTGATTCAACTGATTCTGTGCCTAAAGTATGTAGAAACGTAAACACTTTTTTCTCTAATCCTTTGACAGCACGATCATCAAGCGCTAATCGTTGCTTCAAGAATAATTCTATGGCATTTTACATCAGTTTATTAAGTCTTGTTCAATATATTTAATCTACCTTCATCCATAACAGAAACTGTGAAAAAAAAAGCAAGAGGGGGAAAAAGAAAAAGGTTTCTGGCTTTAAATGTCTAGAGGCCTTCTTTTTCTTTTTTTTCTCTTAAATATGCCAAAAGCCTTATCCTTACTAGCAGGCTTTGGACTTGTTACAGTACTTACCTATCAGTCCCGAATCAATCTTATTACTAATACAGCATATGTCCAAGAACAGATCGATGAAGCAAAAATAAAAGCAGATCTAGCCACTGACAGCAGGGCCATTAGACTATCTCTCGCGCGTCCTCCAACCATGTTGGAAAAATCTGTAGACAACACCATTCTGTACTATGAACGTAGACTTATACCTTCTGGTATGGTTTATATCCATCAATAATATTCAAACTAAATATTGTTATAGTAAAAGAATCTTGGAATGCGCAGGTCGCCAAAGCTGCATCAGCCATTATTCAATCTGATTTACCAAGAAAAACAGGAAAGTTTATTCTGAGAAATGTATTTGGACATGAATAGTAAATGATAATGTAACAAGTTTACAAAGAAGAAGAAGAAAAAAAGGAATAAATAAATTATAAAAAATACATATTAAACATCTATAATTTTGGTAGCTGCTTTTCTTAAGCGGTTCATGACGGCCATGCCTTCTCTAATTTCAGATATACCCTCGACAAAGATGACATCGACCGTACGTTCATCTAAATCACGTAATCCCTTAAACATACCACGAGCGACCTCCTCTGGATGTCCTTGACGCCCCATCTGAAGTGAAATGCACTCGATATCATCCTTTATTCTTGACGTCGTTTCCCACACGACACTATCTACATCTTCTGGTGCAGTACGAAGGATGCCTACCTTTGATACACCTACACCTGATCGTTGTATTTCTTCCAATTGACCTTTCCAAGCTGCTTCAAACTTGTCAATGCTCAACTTGTCTTTTGGTTCTATCAGGATGACCATGGCCTCTGGTGAGTAATGACGATATTTCATACCAGGCGTGGTGGGTGCCATTTCGAGATCTTTATCCACAAAATGTTTTCGATACACTTGGAGCTTTTCCATGCCTTCGATTTGTTGAAGCGTTTCAAATGTAACGCCTCCAGGTCGTAAAATGGCTGGTGGTATGCGCAGCCCATCAAGTACCGTACTCTCGACACCTACATCACACGATCCACCATCGAGAATAAGCGGGATTCGACCTTGGAGGTCGTGGTATACATGGCTAGCAAGGGTTGGCGATGGCTTGCCTGATGAGTTGGCTGAAGGTGCAGCCAGTGGAAATCCACATGCTTCAATCAAACCTCGGGCGATAGGATGCGAAGGAAATCGAACGGCGACAGTAGGGTGACCACAGGTAACAGACGTTGGGATTTTTTCGGATGCTGGTAAAACAATGGTCAGTGGTCCTGGCCAATGCTGACGAATGACAGGTAAGTAGACTTCAGGTAAATGTTGGTCGGGTAAAATACTTTTGAGCATGTCAATCGAAGATACATGCACAATGAGTGGATTGTCCTGAGGCCTGTTTTTGGCTGCAAAGATTTTGGCAACAGCATCAGCACAAAGAGCATTCGCTGCTAATCCATAAACTGTCTCTGTTGGCATACCGATCGCTTCACCTCGCTTTAGATAATAAACAGCTTTATCGATCGCTGCTTGGTCGTCTGGATGCGTAATGACTGTAGACGCATTTTGTTCAGCAAACTCGCCTTGACTCTTTTTGAGTACAAAATGAGATGGAGTGACTTTATGAACTTGAGTTTCAAACATGTATTTTGGTATTGCTATTATTCTTGAAGCAGCCCTAAAAGGAAACTGCATTAATCTTTTTAAGGATACAAAAAAATAAAATTTCTTTCATTCAGCTATCTATTAGATAAGCCTAAGCCACTACTTCTCTTTTCGTCATGTCTGCATAAAGAACAAGGTTTAATTGTGGCAAGATTAATTTAACCATAAATATTGCCACACATACACTCCGCTGCAAGTAAAAGGTGCATAAATATGTATATTCTTAAAGGACATGCTGAATATAAGGGGGCGCGCAGGCTAGTAGACCGCGTTAGATTATTGTTTGAAAAGGCGTGTTAGTTTTGTTTAATTTATGACTGTTTACCCCTTAAACGTTTATTCTGTATACACTTTTATACAAAAAATGTGATGCTTTTCACTCACTCCTTATTTTCTTTTTTTTTTCTTTTTCTTTATGAACTACTGGCTTCAACTTTTAGGCACGTACTTTATAGGCGGACTCACCTTTACGCCCGTCCTACTGTTCCTTTTATATCACCTTTTACCAAAGCACAATACGGTTCAAAAACCAGATCATAAAGAACACCGGACAAGCCATAGCAACAGCAATGTGATCAAGAAAGGCTGGATTCAATTGAGCAAGATACACAAAAGAGAAGCTTGTCTGTCTGACATTAAACGTAAAAAACAAACCGTTTATGCAGAACTACGAAAATGTGGAGCCTTGTTTATATTTGAAAAATCAGACCTTCAAGAGCAGCAGGACGAGAACGCCTGTCGATTGATCATTCCTGTTCATGACTACAATGTATCTATGCACCTCTTTCATAACGACAAGGACACATTTGGACGATCAGCGTTTTTGCGTCTTGCATCGAATAAGAAAGAGGAGTATTATATCACATGTGAAAGGGCAGTAGATAAAGAGGACTGGTATTTAGGTTTGATCGCCGCTGCCTCAGTGATAAATGACCAAGAGACGGTTGAGATGATGGACAGCATGCATTTTGATCCTACCGCTATGAGATCCCTGATCCAGAGTATTCAGCAGGATACAGAGTACCGTCAGGTTCAGTGGCTGAACGCCATCCTTGGGAGACTGTTTTTAGGAATGTACAAGACTCAGGCAATGCAGGAATACGTCCAAGAAAAGATTTCAAGCAAGATTAAAAAGGCCAAGCTACCTAGTTTTCTAGGAGACATTCAAGTTCAATCTGTCGATCTAGGTCAATCTGTGCCATTTGTTGTGCAGCCCAAGCTGCTATCGCTAACGCCTGAAGGTGATCTCTTGGTTGAGGCAACTTTGAATTACGTGGGTGCATTTCAGGTGGTCATACAAGTGGACTGTTCATACTCCTTAATCCATGTCCCGCTTATCCTATCAGTCACACTCAAGCAATTGACAGGTAGATTTTTATTCAAGGTCAAACCGCCACCTAGCAACCGATGCTGGATTGGGTTTTACGAGATGCCCAAGACCAAATGGGAGATAACACCAGCTGTGTCTGACAAGTGGGTCAAGCTATCCATGGTGACAAGCATTCTAGAGTCCAAGATTCGGGAGTTTATGATAGAGACCATCGTGCTTCCAAATATGGACGAGTTTCCCTTTTTCCCATCTCATGGCAATCTAGGAGGCATATTCGGTGAGCGAATACCAAGACCTTCAGAGATAGCCAAGGAAGAAAAGAAAGAAGAAGAGGATCTGCTGATGGACATGCTTGGTAATAGACCAGCACAGCCTGCTGAATTGCCCAAAGCTGACCAACGTATTACCTATGACGACATCCTCCTCCTGCCAAAACCGCCTACTCGCAGATCAGAATCCGTTGGTCTGTTGGAGCCACTTTCTTCCAAATCCAGTATGAGCAATCACCGTGCCAAGTCTACTCCTGAGTTAAGGAAAAGAATAAGCGACAATTCGACTCCTCGACCAACAACCGGAGAAAGCACAATTGTATATAAACAAAAAACGCACAGTTATAATAGCGATAATGATGAAGATTGTAGTGTTAATAGTAGCCATATAACGGCCAGTGATAGCAGCAGTAGCAGAAGTAGTCATAGTAGTCGCAGTAGTAGTAAAAGCAATGACAGTAGTACTAGTACTAGCAGTACTAGCATTCAACCTCTTTCACCAGAGGCAGGTTTAAACTTTATTAATTTTCAAGAGACGTACTTGGGAAAAGAAGTGGATATCAAGAGCATTCATCCACTTGACCAGCCTCCTCATTATTACCATCCTAGCAACAGTAGTGATTCAGTTTCAATAGGATCAAGCAAGAGCACGATTAAATACAACAAGTTGATTAACAATATGAACAACAAGAAGCAAGCATTTTGTAATATGGCTGGGAATTTATTTACTAAAAAGAGCAAGTTTATTATAAAGAGTAAAATTACAAAGGAGATGAAAGAAGAAAGGAACAGAGAATTACAAGAAATACATAACAAAAAAATGATGGGATTGTTTTTAACTTCGCCTACCGAATAAATAAATAAAAAGTAATTAGATACCAATCTTTAGCCTTCTTGCATTCGGTGATGGCCATGATAGTGCGTCAATAGGCATGTATTGTTTACTATAAGATGACTGAGTAGTAGGCATGTACTTCTTATAAGAAGATGCATGTGTAGTTGAATGATATTGCGTTTCTATGTTTTGTGGTATAATTGAATGCTCCTGTTGCTCAAACTCTATTAAAACTTTCTCCATTATTTGATCTATGAGCTGGCCATGATGACAAGTGTGTGCAGGCTGGTATTTCGTCTTTAGTTCCTTTAATTCATTCTCGTGCTGCGCCCTGATCTTATTTAACTCTCTTTCATGCCTTGAAGACAATTCGTTCAGGTCCCTTTGATATATCAGTTTCAATTGATCAGCTTTGGATGTTAATTCAACTAGCTTTTCTTGCTTTTCTTTTATTCGACGCTGTATTGACCGTAGTCGTCGTTGGTAACTTTCTTCCTGTTGGTTCAGTTTAATCGTTAGTTGGTGAATCACGTTGCTATGGTGAACGGGTTCTTCTAAACTTAAAGATTGAACCATATCCTCAGTCTTATTTGATATCATGGCTCTTAATTTATTAATTTCTATTGTTTGTTGCTCAATGATGATGTTTGTCCTTTCATTCTATTTCTGTGAATGAATATTTGTCCTCCTCTAATTTCGATCTTTTTCAATTCAATTACCTCTTCTCTCAAAGCATCAAGTGTTTCCTTTAATCGTACTATGGGTGATTTATTATTTACAGGCATCCCTTTTTATCTTCCTTTGTTTGAATAACAAGCCATAAAAAAGAGAGAAAACAAAAAGTATTTATATGTAGAACAAATGTTTTGTTGACATTATCAAAAATGGAAAGTATGACAGCATGGATTTTTATTTTTATTTTATATTTCAATGACTGGAATGTTCCTCTTGTTTCAATTTTTCCATGGCACCTTTATGACCTAATATGGCTGACCTCTGAAACCACAACTGAGGATCCTCTTCTTCGACAGTGCCTATACCCTTTTCAATATAGATACCAATCAAGTAGTAAGCTTTAGCCAAAGTCCATCTGTCAATATTAGCGGTTGATGCAGCCTTTCTTGCCCAGAGATAGGCCTGTCGATCAGATTGTTCCAATATGTTACTTGATCCAGTCAAGTACCAGCAGGATAACGCCAGTGCACCCTCTGCGCTTCCTCTTTCTGCCGCTCTAGAATACCAATATATTGACTTGGCTTCGTCTACTTGCTGAACCAGTTTACCCGTTTCGTACAATTCACCAAGCTTGGCTTGGCTTGGTAAATAATTCAATTTGGCAGCTTGATGTAAGAGCTCCAGTGCATAGCCCGTATCACATATAAGATGATCACTGAATTCATTTGATATAATCAAAAGGGCGAGTGCATGAAGTGGGTGAGGTGCTGTTTCTGTCGCCAGTGATACTGCTCTTTGTAATAATGCAATGCCTTCCCTGACGTTGATCACTTGTTGATAGTATCCCTTCAACAGGATGATTGACAATTTATACATTGCTGCTACATGAGATAAAGTGGCTGCTCTGCGATAAAATGATACTGCTCTAGTATAGTCCCTCCTTGTACCAATACCTAATTCATAGCATACACCTACTCTATAATTTGACTCTGGGTCATTTTGTTTTGATCCCTGGAGGTAAAGTAAGAACGCTCTTTCTCTATCGCATGGTAAACCCAAACCGCCGACACCAAAGCACGAAGCCAGCAACTTTTGGGCTTCTGTTACTCTTAAGACGCCAGTGGATAATTCTTTTAATAACTTTTGAGTTTCCAGTTGAATCGTTTGATGGAGCTCCTTATTGTCTGTCTTGGTTGCCATGAGTGTCTTGCAGAGACTGAGTTGTCTTGATGGATCTCTAAATGATCTCGCTCTTTTGAACAAATAATGCACTTGTGTTACGTTTTCCGGAATTGGCCAAGGTCGATCATGATGAATACTAAGTAAAGAGATCGTACTGACAGCTGGTGATGAATAAAGTGGTTTCATAGACTGCCTTTCCTTTGATGCAGCATGTTTATACACTCCCGAATACTCATCAAAGTACAAAGGTTGCTGTTGGTTTCTTTTTCTTTGGTCTTGAATAAACATCCGGTCACGATGATATTCATATTCCTGCATTATCTTTTCTTCATTTTCTTCGATAAATGACTGTCTATCCACCGATAATTGATCCATCGTCATGTAATAAAGAGAAGGAAAAGAAAGAGAAAATACGCCGATAACTTGCTCTTGTTTTGCTGCTTTACATATTCTTTGGTTAAAATACAAATTGAAGTGAAAACGGAAATGACCGGAAAGTTAAAGTGCTTTCAAAGTTCAAGCGCATGTGATGCTACCAATCAATTTTATTTTTAGACGATTGTAATTTTTTTGGGACGAACTGACCTTTTTGAGACGGTAAACACTACATGCACCAGAAAATGCACCAGAAAATAGGCTAAAAAATGTAAATACGAATTTATCATAAGTGGTCTTTTTTGATCAAACTGACAGCATAAAATTAGAATAAATAAATAAATAACAACATTTCTTTTTATCTCTTCTTCTTCTTGAAAAGAAACAAAACAAGCCGGTAACTTTATAAAGTCATGTTTAGCGCGGTGCTGCACATTCAAATGTTTTGTTGGAAGGCATCATAGGTAATAGGTAGAGGTAGCGTCCGTAGTATTAGTCTAACTTCTGGTGTATTTTCTGGTACATGTAGTGTTTCCCTTTTTCTATCTTCTATTACCATGGGCTCAAACGTTCCAGGTATATTGTTTTCAGAGTGACTGATATTTAGCTGTCTCACTTTTGTTCATTTGCAGATAGTTTGCTTATCCAACGTCTTCCTTCAGAATACACGCCAGGAGACGACAGGCTTAGCCGTATGCTCATGAAGAATCAATCGGCCGTTGATTTTATAAGCTATGATTTAATGGGCACTCCCAATGGTACAAGATCTGATATTCTATACATTCCAGCACTTTCTGCGCTGGATTCTTTCCACCTCTTCTGATTAAAATCCAAAATACCATCGACTCACAATTCCTGCAAAGATTGATTGGTTACTTCCTCAATGTTGTGAAAGTGCACAAAATCCTACCTGTCGTATTAGTTTTTGGCGTTTACAAGATTTCTCCAAGCAATCTTCTTTTGGAATTTACACCTTTCTCAGATCAAAAACCTTGGCTCTTCTCTTTTCTGTGCACCATGTGGGCGAAACATTGCTATTTGGTATCAAAGGAAACGATTCGTGATCAAGATTCTGATAGCCTACTGAGCCTAGTCATGACTTTGTCTTTGTTTTTGACCGAACAGCAGCCTTCGTTATACTTTCATACCCATCCACCCGATCTGACAATTACACAACTCTACGAAACCGCTTTCGCATTGGTGTACCACGATCAAGTTTTCGAACAAAAAATTTTTTTCATTGATCGAGACTATTTGCGACGCAAACGAACAGTTGTTCAAAAGCACAACTGAAAAATAGCTTCCAAAATGGACATGAACAGAATCAAACGAATTTGTGAACGTAGCATCGAATACAGCCGTGAAGTCAAATATTGTTTGCTGAACGACTCGAGTTCAAACTCTTCGCAAGGGTTGGAATACCCTGATAGTTTTTTTAAAAAAAAAAAAGAAATCCGCAACACGCACCATGTCGAATCAAGATTTCGAATTCGTGCAATACTTTTTGATGTAGTATACGAATTTATGAAGTATCATCAATAATTACACGAGAGCTAAGCAGTCTTGGTTGTTGTAATCATTCTTTTCTTTATTAGTTCGAATTGTACAATATAAAATAAAACAGTAATATAAAAAGCTTTTTTTTGATCCTTTATCTTCTTGAGCAAGAGCTGTAAGAACCAAAGAAACAAACCGAGAAGAAAACAGAGAGAGGAGAGCGGGAACAACCAAGGTCACTTAGCTCTCAGTCAAACAAGAGAATGTGCAGCACACCTCTGGAGATACTCTCAAAAATTTAGAAGCGTCAACTGCGATAATTATTCTCAAGGCTTGCAAGTTGCACAACGCTCGCTTCTCAACTTTAACACGTTATAAAGCAACATGTGTGCATTCCATCAAGAGGATTCTGACTTTGTCTGTGCTGTATATTATGAAAGGTAAGGTGTTTGCCTTTAAAGAGCAACGAACTGCCCCATACCCCTTTGGGTACCAAGAACGCTACAATTGGTTCCAAGCTTCAGAACTTGTCGCACGTTTACAAGTTAGTATCGGATTATATACAAGCGTGATAAGTAAAAAAGTCAATAACGAAAGCATATTGTAGAAGTAAAGTACTGAGAGAGTGTTATGTAATGGTTAAATGACACAAGGCAAAGACAAAAGAAGTACTCTTTGAGACTACTCTTTATTCTGAGATAAAGATAGAAGGAACATACAAATAAATAAAGGATCTCCTGTCAATAGTTGCCAAAGATTTTTTGAGTTCCGACAGGTATTTTTTTTGAGTATTTCCCCACATTTTAGATTTTAAATGATGATTGGATAGCTGGGATTAGTTTTTATACCCCTCTCTCTTTTTCTATAAATCAGGGTTCATGCGTAAAGACAGTCATTAGTAAATTTATGATATATGGAAATAACCAACAACTTGGTTGAGGAAAGAAGGCAAAGCTAATGGCTCTGATATAAGGCTACACAGAAGCAGGAGCATATTTAGCAGAGATCATTAAAAAAGCAATTATTCACTGCAAAAAAAAAAGCAGCATATGTTCTGACTGTCCAATTTCTGGATTTGACGCTCTCAAAGCTTTCTTTGATCATTTCAAACAGCATTCTTTTTGATCAATGACAATAACAAAGAAAAGTACTAAGCAAAAGATTTATGCGAGAGTCGGCGAATCTATTTCTATGAACTGAGTTATTTTTTTTCTGAGTAAGCATAAAAAGGACGTCTACATCACCAAGGAAAAAAGTGTGTGTGTGCGTGTGTGTGAGTCAAGGAAGCATATGAAAATTTATTATGTCTTTTTAAGTTGTATATAAGCGAATTTTAATTTTCATCTCTTTCTTTTTCATTTTTCTTTTTTTTTCTTTCTTTCTTTTTTATTTATTTACTTTTAAACCAAATATGAGCAGAAACGGCGATAGCAAACAAAAGACACCTCTTTTAACTCACTTGGTTGCTGGTGGTGCTGCTGGTTTTATGGAAGCATGTACTTGTCATCCACTTGATACGATTAAAGTCAGAATGCAATTAGCTAAAAATGCTGCTAGAGGAGCTAGTGTACGTTATCCATATACATACATATATCACAGAGAGAGAAATACTCATCTATATTCCTCAGGGCAAACCATTGGGCTTTATTGGTGTAGGTGTCAAAATCGTCAAGACAGAATCATTTTGGGCTTTGTATAAAGGTTTAGGTGCTGTTGTCGCTGGTATTGTACCCAAGATGGCCATCCGTTTTTCTTCCTTTGAACTTTACAAGTCTTGGATGGCTGATGCTGAAGGAAAAGTTAGTACGACAGCTGTATTCTTTGGTAAGTAAGACATTGTGCATAGTAGAAAACGTGATGATTTACTTTATCTTAGCCGGTCTTGCTGCTGGTACAACTGAAGCTGTCTTGGTTGTCTCTCCTATGGATTTAATCAAAATCCGTCTTCAGGTAATAATGATTTTTTCCCATCCATAAACAAATGAGTAAGTATAAATCATTTTCCTCCAACAGGCTCAACGTCATTCCATGGCTGATCCTATGGATATTCCCAAGTATCGTAATGCACCTCACGCCGCCTATACCATTATCCGTGAAGAGGGTGTTCGTGCTTTGTATAAGGGTGTCACCTTGACTGCGTTGAGACAAGGTATGGAAATATGAATTAAATTTGATATAAAACTCACACGGTGATCACTAGCTACAAACCAAGCTGCCAACTTTACTGCTTATCAAGAATTCAAAAGGATGGCTAGAAACTATCAAAACTTGGATGAACTTCCTTCTTATCAACACTTGATCCTTGGTGGTATCTCTGGTGCGATGGGTAGGGTCACATGTACCATTTGATCGACATAATTCTCACGAGTAATAATTAGGCCCTCTTTCTAACGCACCCATCGATACTATCAAGACACGTATTCAAAAATCAAGTTCAACCGGTTCAGGTTGGGAAAGATTCAAAGTAGTTACAATGGAGATTTGGCAAAAGGAAGGATTTAGAGCATTCTATAAGGGTTTGACACCTCGTGTATTGAGAGTAGCTCCTGGTCAAGCAGTTACCTTTATGGTTTATGAAAAGGTCAAGTCATGGCTTGATATCTTTCAAGCCAAGGTTGAAAATGGTGAAGTTACTTCACTTGTCTCTTCTCCTCAAAAATAACGTGTATAGATTCCTCCTTATTTTAGATCAACGATTTGTTATTATTCATCTTGTATTAAAGTTACACACTCCGATAAAAGAAAATGAAGTAACCCCACATTTAATCTTTTTTTTTTGCTGCTAAAGGCCGTGGCATGTGAAATCATATTGTCGGGCTGCAATGATGACATTTTTAGCTTCTTGATAACAGCATTGCATTTGACCTATGATAGGTGTGAACCTCATTTGAATTATACATTCAAAATTAGGTATTCATTTGAAGAGATTTTTTGTTTGTTTGTTCCGAACTGAACATTGCTTAAAGATTCTTCTTTTGTATCTGTCCTTTTTCAAAAATGCCAAGTGATATATAGTGTATCGAAAGCTATTACAGATATAATAGAAAGTAACTGTAATATGTACAAAGATAAGACAGTGCATTTAAAGCAGCCCGAAATAAAAGTAATCACTTAGTATAGTTGTGCATTGTGCAAATAAAAGCCTTTATACAAACCTGTTCATAATATTTGGTTCTATTTGTTGCTGCACTACGTCCACTTTATCTTTCAATATGAACTCATGTTATCATTATCCTTCACATCTTCTGCTTCTCATTCTATATGATATAATCATATTTTTAATCTGATAAATAACCGACCATTGTAAAAGATGATGATTTAAAATTGTTTATAGCATTATATTGTCGATTTTGACCTTGATAATGTTCAAACTGATGACTCGTTCTGAATATTGCTGGCTCTCTATGATATACTTATATCATACTTAAAAGCAAAAAATAAAAGACAGAACATCATTGATGGCCTTGAGCTTAGTAATTGATAAGCAGAATAGGATAAGGGCAATACTAAAACAAAGTATGGCTTGATATATAAAGATAATGATTTACAACCCAATATCGCAACAGGATAGATACGATAGCAATATTATAGTTTTTGTAGTTAATTCGTACCAATTTTTGAGATTGGCATAATCAGTGAGCTCAAAGCTTCTATTAAGCCGTGTGAACAGAAGAAAGAAAGTGTACTTGTTCATTATAATGCCCACAGTAACTAGGGAGCAAGCAATTTGCATGCTATTTGGTGCTGCATATACCGACGAGAATTGTAAAAATTGTTGACGAAGTAGGAGGCCTGGATATTTGCTACAGCGAAGGCCCATGGAACCAATTGTAATCTCTTTAAAAAATATAGGAAACAATCCTTTATAATATAAAACATATTTCTCAACTGCAAATGGCACCCCTATCCTAAGTAGCTTAGAAGTAATTAACAACATTTAAGCTTATATGCTTGAAGCTTAATTTTCCTTTCCCTTTATAAGGGATCTACATCTGGAAGTGTTTATTCAGATTGAGGCATTAGAATCTGAAAATAAAAACCTTATTATATTGATCTTTGTAGAGGCTTATTTCTACAGTTGAAATTTTGGAGTAGTTACGAGTTATTATACAAAAAATGAAAAATTAAGAAAAAAGAAAATATATCAAACAAACTTTAATTTCTTTATACACACTTGTAGATATTTATCTGAAGCATCATTTAAAACTTTTAACGCTTTTTCATAAAGAATTCGTAAATTTATTAAGTTTCAAAATTCAATCCCAAACACGTCCCGAAAACATCCAGAAAACACAATGTTTTCGGGATCCGGTGCAATCCCAAAACACTCAGACTGGTCACGTGATATATTTTAATATAATGAATAAAATATAACATTTTATGAAACCGTATCAGCCCGGTTAGCTCAGTTGGAAGAGCGTCAGACTTTTAATCTGAATGTCGGGGGTTCGAGCCCCCCATCGGGCGAATAGCAACAGCTTCAAAAGCTTTTCTTTTATTTTTTCTCCGGTTTCGTCGGAGTTTAATGTTGAGAACAGTCTCAAAGCAGTCATATTATTTCTTTTTTTCAAGATTTTTTTGTCATCTTCAGTTACTATACTTCTATTTTTCACGTACACAAATGGAAGTTCATCGGTGCCGTTTCGTTGAATATCAGCCAGCAGCTATTAATGCGCTCGATTTCACACCGTCAACAGTAAAGCGAATCAGACTGGCCGTAGGCCGAGCGAACGGCAATATTGAAATATGGGATCCTACGCATAACTATCGACTAGAAAAGACGCTTCCAGGAGGCCAAGATCTCTCCATTGAAAGTCTTGTTTGGGCTCACCAAAATGTTTTAACGGATATTGATGAGGATAGTACACCTGAGGAAGTAGCAAAGGAGTTAGAAGAATTATTAGAACAACCTCCACGTTTGTTTTCTTCAGGACTGAATCCATACATTACAGAATGGGATACAACAACCATGACGATTAAGGTAAAAAGCAAACATTATTAATGGATTCACAGAACTTATGAATTTTAATAGAAAACCTGCGATTCTAATGGTGGTGCAGTGTGGTGTTTAGCTGTCAACAGTAAAGGTACGCGATTAGCAGCAGGCTGTGAAGACGGATGTATTCGTATGTTCGATATCTCAGACGGACGCCTTGAATATTTGCGCAGCTTTGAACCACAAAAGGGCCGAGTACTATCAGTCGCATGGGCACCTAATGATGAATATATTGTCTCTGGTGGGTCAGATTCTGCTATTCGAACATGGAATCCTGCCACTGGCAAAACAATTCATCGAATGGTGGTTGACAAAAATCCAAAGGAGCAGACTTTAGTATGGGCAGTAGCTGCTGCTTTGTAAGTGATTTATATCGTATGCTTGATATCTTGTACTTATTTTTTTTTTTTATTAGAGGAAACACAATTATTTCTGGTGATTCCAGAGGCGCAGTGACATTTTGGGATAGCAAGCTAGGAACTATGAAGCAAAGTATTAGGGCGCATGGTGCTGATATATTGTGTATTGCAGTATCAAAAGACGGCAAACAAGTATTCACAGCTGGTGTTGATCGTAAGATAACAACTTTTAGACGAACAACAAAAAAATCAAAGGAAAATAATGTCACTCAGTGGATAAATGTGGGCAGCCGTAGATACCATTGGCACGATATTCGGGCACTTGCTTTAGATGAAAGGCCGCACATCAATTCAATTGTCTCAGGAGGTGTGGACGTTGAATTGGTTGCATGTCCAGCCGCAGAATTTCCCAAGCTGATTCAAAACAGATTGCCACCTTTTCCAGAAAAATACATCATCTCTTTGTCAAAATCACATCAGTTGGTCATGGCAACCTTATTCAATTCACTGTCTATTTGGAGACTAGGTAAAGCACAAAACTTGGATTTCTCATCAAAGACACCTGCTCTTCCAGAAATGGTTCAACCACATCAACTTGTTTTGGAACTTAAGTTAAAGGCAGACTGTAATATCACCTCAAGTGCTTTATCAGAGAATGCTCAGTGGATTGCAGTGGCTGATGTTGAGCAAGTGAGACTCTTTAGAGTAGAAACGGATGTAAGTGTGGATAATAAGAGCAAAAGGGCCTAAGTTTAATCATGTATTTGTAGGAGGAAACAGGCAAATTAGAAGTCAAGAAGCAGCGTGCGTTTGAAAAAGAGTTGAATATGTATTTAAATGAGCATGGAGCAGCAGCTGGTGCTCATCATGTCAGATTCACCCCAGGTTCAGACAAGTTGATAATTGTTACTGCTGAATCACGCATATTGTTGGTTGACCTCACCAGTTGGTCAATTGAAAAGTATCCTGTGTTGGTCGAATTTGAACATCATAGAGGCCTGGATAGTGACGGCAACAGCGCTGACGATCATGCAGTGGCAACTGTAACATCTATTGATATTAGCTCAGATGGACAATGGCTAGTGACTGGCGATGATAATAATCGTATTCATGTGTTTAATCTAGATAACTTTAAGGTAAGTGCATGTGAAAAATAAAGATTATAGGATTCTAAATATATTATTCCTGCAGCATCACCTTCAGCTTCCACAAGGCAATATACCTCATACAGCTTTGTCTTTTAATCAATTCAGACCCAATGAACTTTTCGTTGCATTGGCAACCAATGCATTCTACATTTACGATGTCGAACATAAGAAGCTCACAAGTTGGTCAAATATACACAAAGACATGTCTCACTGTAGACTTTTGGAACAAAGAGATCGCATTCGAGGTGTTGCATACAACCCAGCACATGAAAACAAGATGATCATCTACGGTAGCACCTATATGTGTCTTGCTGACGTAGAGTATAAACCAGTACCAAGCAAGCTAGGCAAACGAAAACAAGAAGAAACGCCCTCTATAAAGAAAGAAGATGCACTGGCGTTCCCAATTTCTCATCAGTATCAGCAAATACTCTACTGTGGTTTCATTGCAAAGGATCAAATGGTAATGATTGAGAGACCTAAGTTCAGTGTCTTGGAAAACCTGCCACCTTCATTCTACAAAGCACATTTCGGTGGCGCTTAATTTGTGTATTATAATAAAATATATATAGATTTTCCTTTCCTTCTCTCTCTCTCACTCTCTTTTTATAGATTGAGTTGTTCAATAAATGATTTATCTGCATGTTCAAATGCTGTCTTTCCTTCGGCATCTTTTGAATCCCGGTTGCATCCCTTTTCAATCAGTAATTTGGCTACTTCCAATTGCTCTGATATACATGCTATTGTCAGATGTTTAGTAGAGTTTTTTCACAAGAAATATAAAGCTTACCTAAATGCAATGGTGTTTCTTGATCATCAGATTGAATATTAATATCTGCTCCAGCATCAATTAAATGTTTGACTATATCCAAGTAGCCTCTGTCAGCTGCATAATGAAGAACAGATAAACCCTAATGAATGTATTACTTTCTTTTTCTACTATTGATTTTTTTTTCCATTTACATCTTCATCTTTTGCGTATAGCAAATCTTTATCTGTGTTGATTGCTGCCAGTAGGTTTTCGGTGTCATTTTGCCGAGCATATCCGAATACATCATCTGTTTCCCTAATCAAAAAGTAAATAAATATTCCTCCAGCATATATCATGTGCTTTACTCTTCACTATCATAAGTCATACAACTAACAGCGGGGCCCAGTCCTGCAGAGCTCTTTATAAATTTAGCTTAATAGTTTATGAAAATGCATTATACTCAAACCTCGTTATGGGGATCCTCTTCAGAAGGAGTATACTCGTACAGGCCTTGGCGAGACCAACCAACGTTTAATTCTTCGACACTTTCAATGTACTTTAACTTGGCTTCTGCTGGGCTTAAGCCTTTACATTTATTCCAAGCATCCCATTTTGCTCTGGCTACAAATTCAAATAGTGAAGGTCTTGACGTGTTGACATCACCAACCGTAGCTTGTTTAAATAGACCATAAAACTGGTACTTATTGTTAATTACAAAATAATGGGTATCCAAAGTAAAGTCATTACGTGTAATTTCTTGTTGTCAGGTAAACGAATGTCGTGCTCTGTTAGATAATTAGAAGCTTGTTCAAACAATTTATCTTCTTGATTCATCATGATAAAAAAAAGTGAAAAACAGACCTTTTTGTACCTGAGCTTATTAAAACGTCACATCGCCATAATTTTGCACGCTGATATCCTCTAGTTCGCCCAAAATATTATTTACACAAATTGTAGGATATCAGTCATGACTTGGGCCACTTGTCCATTTATCAAAGAGGATAGCTGTTCAAGATCAACTGTTTGGTGTGAGTTTTTAATGGCTAAAGCTTGCTCTCTTTAATATTAAATTCATACTTGGACATAAGCCTCTGTAGACAATATAGAGCATTGCTCACGATGGCACTAGACTATTATTCTGTATGGTAAACATAAAAGTAGCAGCAGATTAACGAAGGAATTAAGCAAACTTATTTAATCTGTGCTATCTGCTATATTATGAGTACAGTGCTAGATAAAGTTTGATAATGCAAAATTGGCATGCAGCGGAGCACGACTTTAGATATATCAGGCGATTGTTTATTTTCCAGTTTTAGTTGTTTTATAATCTTGTTATGGTAGGAAAGGTTCATATCATAATACAAAAAAAAGGTAGCAGCCTACTTGGAATATGTGTATTTTGAAAAAGAAAAACAGTGACCGAGATCAACATATGAAGGATCAAAGAAATTCCAGTGGAGTATAAATCAACGTTTAACTTGTTCTAATTTACTATAAATTTGCTCTGATTGTGTAATAAGTTGACAGTCATACCACGGGATGTAATCAGTATGCTGTAATGATGTTAACAACTCTGGTGATGTGCTTTCTCATTCAGGCTTCATGTATGATTTTAATGATGAGATCATTTGTTTAAAAATGGCAGGCATTGTTTTTGTTCATAATAAATATGGGTACCAGGATCATAATTTATAAAAATGACCCCTGATATGACTCTAGTAAGGTTGTCAATCAGTCATTTGAAATCAATTAGTTAAAAGAAGTTTTTTTTTGATTTTGTCAACTTGGGTAGACGATAAGAAAGAATCAATAGTCATTTCTTATACAAAAATCATTGGCATGAATGTAGCTCATTCAGTAGTCTTTGATAGGACTTTGTGTAATGGCTCCCTCTCCATATATTAAAAAAAGAAAAAATCAAGTGATCAAGAGTCATATTTGATGGTATACCAAAGGATAGGCTGTATCTATCATTCAATAGGTCCGTGTTATTGATGGCAAATAGGGCTCGCAAAACCTATTTTTGGTATTGCATAAACGAATACTAAAACGAGATGCTGTTACACCAATATATGATTTGCTGTCTTGCACTCCTTATGACAGAGGTTCCTTGCTCATTTCTGTATTATTTAAGCTCAAAAAGGAGGAGAAAAGAAGAAAGAAGGGGAAAAGATAGCGGAGGCTAATGTTGTCAAAAAAAGAAGCGTTGATGTAAAGGAGAAGGTTTATGCTAGGGCAATCGGTACGGTCACAGCTCGACTTTTACGCCTGTGAATATCAAGAATGGCGAAAGATCATCTTTTGCTTTGTCCTTTTTACACAACTCTCCTTTTTACCAAAGAATTCGTAGTACAACCCTATCCTGTGATATGCTTACATGGTTCTCCATATCAGCAGGACTCTCACTCACTCTCATCTTACTTGCATAAGTTACATCTCTGCGTTTCTCTTTCTTTTTCTTTTTCTTTTTTGCTTTAATACAAAATAGAATGTCAACTGCCGATGAAGATTACTTTGCAATCGATTCAAATAGGATACCTAAAAATAACAAGGCATTACCAAGTGACCTGATGACGCCATTTAGTACAAGCAGTGAAGATCAAACGAGATCACTATATTCCAGGCGAAGGTTTATTCCAAATAGATGGACAACACCGAGTATAAAGAGTATCCGCACAGCCAAACTAAAAAGAATGCGCTTACTGATCAAACAACCACACCTACCTGAATTTGAAACTCAGACATTTTGTGAAAATTGTGAAAAATATGTACAAACAAGGGTGCGGTATCGAAATGGATCGTTGGTATGGCTATTATTCTTTATGCTGTAAGGATCAATTGCCATTAGTTTTTTATTATTGCTAATTCGCGTTTTTTCTTTTTTTTAGCCTACTCTGTACTGTCATTCTCTGCTGGGTGCCATTCTATGTCAAGTACTTTAAAGGCAAGTATTTAATAATAGAATATTAAGCCCAAATACTTATTCCGAGTATAGATGTGGCACATTACTGTCCTGGCTGTGGAAGAAAGATTGGGACGCATTATAGACTATAAATAAACAAACATATACACAAGGGGAAACAACACACTTTTGATTGGCCAGTATACAAACCTTTTAGTACACGTGTAATTTAGAAAAAAGGTAGGGTGAGTTTTTACCTTTCAAAAAAAAAGATCGTCAAGGCCAGCTTGCTACTATAAATTACACTATTTCAATCTCCACTTGAATTGTTAATTTAATAAATCTGCCAATAAAGTCTAGGTTCCTTTCTCTTCTCTTTTCTTTCTTATAATCCTTTATTCAAATTAAAAATATGGTTGTTGTCAAGAATATCTGTTGTGTTGGTGCCGGCTATGTTGGTACGTGCCATAGTTTATAAGAAAAATGGTAAAAGGTAGTAATTCTGTTAATGGTTAGGTGGTCCTACTTGTGCTGTCATTGCCTACAAATGTCATCACATCAAGGTGACCATCGTTGATTTGAACCAAGCTCGTATCGACGCTTGGAATTCTGACAAGTTACCTATTTATGAGCCCGGTTTAGAAGAAGTCGTGTTTGACCGTCGTGGCAAGAACTTGTTCTTTACAACAGATGTTGACACTGCCATTCAAGAAGCTGATTTAATCTTTGTCTCGGTCAACACTCCTACCAAGAAGACTGGTTTGGGTGCTGGTATGGCTGCTGATCTTGCGTAAGTAGATCACGATAGATATATAAAAGGGAGAATGGCTTATGCTTTGTTAGTTACATCGAAGGTGCTACCCGTCGTATCGCTCAAGTTGCTAAGACCTCCAAGATTGTGGTCGAAAAGTCCACTGTACCCTGCCGTACTGCTCAAAGTATGCGCACTATTTTAGAAGCCAACTCAACCGAAGGTATCCGCTTTGATATCTTATCTAATCCCGAATTTTTGGCTGAGGGTACTGCCATCAGAGATCTTCTTGAACCTGACCGTGTCTTGATCGGTGCTCTCCAAACACCCGAAGGTATCAAGGCTCAAGAAGCTTTGGTTGATGTCTATGCCAACTGGGTCCCTAAAGACCGCGTTATCACTACCAACCTTTGGTCTTCCGAGCTTTCTAAATTGGTAAGTTCATTTTTGGAAAAAGAGAAAAAAGTAACTCATGTGTGTGCGCATGTGTTATAGGCTGCCAATGCTATGCTTGCTCAACGTATCTCTTCCATCAACTCCCTCTCTGCCGTCTGTGAAGCTACTGGCGCTGATGTTGATGAAGTTGCTTATGCTTGTGGTCGTGATACCCGTTTAGGATCTAAGTTTTTGAAAGCTTCTGTTGGCTTTGGTGGATCATGTTTCCAAAAGGATATTCTCAATTTGGTCTATTTAGCACGTCAATTAAATCTTCCTGAAGTTGCCGATTACTGGCACCAAGTCGTCATTATGAACGAATATCAAAAGAAGCGATTCGTCCGCAAGATTATTTCTACTCTCTTCAATACAATCACCAACAAACGTATTGCTGTTCTTGGTTTCGCCTTCAAGAAGGATACTGGAGATACCCGTGAATCAGCTGCTATCACCCTTATCAAGGACTTCCTTCAAGAAAACGCACGTGTTGCTATCTATGATCCTAAGGTGGAATCTGAACAGATCTACATGGACCTTTCAGAACCCGGTGTAGTTGATAACCGCAAAGAACTTGATAAGCAAATTACTATCTGCTCTAGTGCCTATGAAGCCGCCCAAGGTGCTGATGCTGTTGTCATTGTGACCGAATGGGATGAATTCAAATCAGACGCTCTTGACTACCAAAAGATCTACGACAACATGAATAAGCCAGCTTTCTTATTTGATGGTCGTTTGCTTGTTGACGCTGTCCAACTCCGTGAGATCGGATTCAAGGTACACGTTATTGGTAAGAATGAATTGGCTGGCACTGTTTAAATACATGTATACATCTCTTCCATTTGTCACATTCCCCCCACCCTCTCTTTTTCACATTTTACATTTCAATCAAAAATAAAAAGATATATTGACTTTCCGGAAAGTAAATTCGCCTGTGATCGAAAATAAATGCACCCAATGGTGAGAACAAAATTCATGTTGTATGAAATGTAAATTCGTCGTTACCAAGAATATTTTCGTAGTATCAGCCCTGACATCCATGGATATACTGTATTTCCAAATTTAGATGTCGTATTGAAACCATTGTAATGTTATTAGAGTAATAACAAATACAAAAAGAATATGGCTCACTATTCCATTTGACAGTAATATTAACAGGTGGGATGTCTTGGAGTTGGTTAATTTAATGTTAGAAATAGCCCTCTTTAGTCTCCTTGTAAAAGTTTAAATTCTTTATTCGGTTTTTCCATGAAATCAGAAGAACATGTAGTCATATTTGGCAATGCATATTCTTGAATGGTCACGAAGCAGATTGCTCCTATTTGACATGATTTCTTTGTCTTAAATACCCAATCCTGAAACCTATTTGAAAAAGAAAAACATATAAAACCCATTTTAATTGAGTCCTTTTTTTGCTTCTTTACAGCAGTTATCAAGTGTCCCTCTGAGTGTTCAAAGATTCGCCAATCAAAACTAGCCTGTCCTCATGGTCCTTGCTCTGACTCGCTTGTCCCGCCCTCTCTGCTCTCTGGCGTGTATCTGGAACGTTCTCCAATAGTCTCTTCTGACGCCCTGGGTTCTCTCTGTCCTCCGTTCCTTTTTTTTTTTTTTGTTTAAACTTTCCTGGGTAGTTATCGCTACCCTCCCCAGAGTGCACCTTGGTGGTAAGTAAAACTAATATTAGGATATGTACTCTAATACTAACATACTTTTTCTCTCTTTTGACATGATGTCGTTTTATTCAAACGTGTTTTTCTTTGTCGTCTTTTTACGAAAATATTTTATCAAATTAACGTCAATAATTAATAAAAATACAGTATTGACACACGCACCAGCTTGGCATATGCCCAAATATAGTAGTGTAATATTCCTTTCATATATCTGTGCTACTTGGTCTTGCTTACCTAAGATACTCGTATACCATTTGGAAGAATGATGGTGCAAGGCAGCCATGGCCTGAAAAGGCGACTGGACAATCTTGTTGCTAATATCTGTAATTATTTGTGAGAATGGTATCCTTTTTGAGTATGAACTCTCGTTTTCGCACTGCTCTTGAACGACACAGATCAAACTTGTTGTATACATTCTATAACCAAGTCTTGTTATTTTTAACAGATGAGCTTAAGCAGCTAAAGAGTTGTGTAGATCATGTTATTATAAGAGGAGGTCTACTAGGATTTTTTCACTTGCTATATTTACTTTCAATTTTATGGGCATTGTATTCACTTATTTACGTGAATGGCATAGGGTCAAGATACAAGCACCTAGTACACTCAATGATGTTTAATCCAGATGATTTTATTTTGAAGCATTATTTTACTACTACCAACCTAAATGAGGTTAGATAAAATTGTTCACAATACTTATCAACTGCCCCAGCTAATCTTCAAGAATATAACATGGTGTTGTTAGGTACTAAACTAGCACATCTAGTACAAAGTAGCACAATGACGTTGGTTCTTCTGAGTTTTTAAGATCTTTCAATAAAGGGCTGTACAACTTTACTGACAGCCAAAAGCATGATCCTGCCGTTGATTTTGACAAGAAGTGGGATAAAGGAAGCATGACCAGAATGTCAAAGCTATTCCTGTACAACGATAAGCTATAGCTGAATGACCATCCAGAAACTGACCTTTTGCGTAAAATATGTTCATTCCTTAACAGAGCATGCAAAGACAAAGAAGTCAAGACGTTGTTCGGTGAAAGAGCAAGTGTGGCTGTTGCTTTTGCCAGAAATGAAGAGAGAGGGCTGGAGGCTAAAGATAGAAAGTTAAGAAAAGCTACAGATGCAATGATCGACATTCTTTTAAAGATATGTAACAACAAACATGGTGTATGCGATGTATGAAAAGACCAGCTCACTTTAGCTGACGACAAACATTTTGATGGTGGTCTCACGAAGCTATCAAAGATACTCAGAGATATACGAGCATTGTTTGCACAGAAGAACCTTGATAGAATAAACGACCTCGGAACAATGGGGTTTTTAATAATGGATAAGCTAGATGTATTTGCAGTAGTAAGGAAGCACTCGGTAATACGTATGTTAGGTCTAGACATGGAACTTGCTGTTATGGATGTCCCTGTCGACCAATACATCTCATGGGTTACAAAAACATGCAAGTTTGAACTCACATTCTCTGTGGAGGCCATGTCCGTTGACTTCTTGCCTCTTCTAGAGCTTATCTGGAAAGGTAAAAAAACGATGAAGATGGCCCATACAGAATTGGCTAGCAGAAAGAGAGAAACTACCGGCAGTTCGAACATGGTACCATTATTGCCGTACTCTTTTGTCCATGGTTCTATCGCTTTTATATAATAAAACTTATATATTATTGCTTTAAACATATACGTATCAAGAACATTTTTTTTACTTTAATGACACTCTTTTTCGCCAGTGTTGCTTGTTCAATAACATAAAGAGTCTAAGCAACATTATTCTATTTACCGAATACACTTTATCTTTTTAAAGACTTGAAAAAGAAAAAAAAAAGCAATAAAGACATAATAGTTCATAAAAATGCATACTTTAGCAGATAGTTTTATTCTCTCTCTCTCTCTCTGATGGGTTAGGATTGTACACTAAGCGCCACAAGAAAGTACCGTGACACTCGTGGTGCTTTAAAGTGTGTAACAACTTAATTTTCTTTTCTTTTACAGTCATGTTTTTGGCGGTTTTTTTTTGTCCTTTTTGCTTCTTTATAAAAATATAACATAACAATGACTACATTCTTTTATGAAGATGGACAAGAAAACCTTCTCAATGAACATGGAGAAAAAGTTTACGATCCAATGGAAGATGTTTTAACACAAATTGACGATCCCAATATAGTTCTTGAAACGATAACCAATCGAGAAACTTACTTGAGTGCTAAACGCCCCGAAAAAGCTACTGGTGAACCATCAGTTACGAAGCCGTTGAAATACCGTACTGCACTGAATTGGTGGCAACATTTATGAAGAAACGGAAGGAGTGCCGTATAAAAATAGTGAAAAAAAACAGTGGTCCAAAAAGCTCATTTACAACTGAGCATAACGAGTACATTACCAAGCTACTTGACAACGACCCTCAGATATTTGCGGACGATATAATAAATAGCTTGGCTGAATAATTCGAAGGCTTCACCATTTCAAAATCGCAAATGAACAACCATTTACGTAATACTATGCTTATCACTATAAAAAAGCCATATTTCGAACCTGAAGTTAAAAACTCAGTAGAGAATCTCCAGACACGATTCGAATGGTTTATGAAATGGAAAGATTCTGATCTGGATTTTACAAAAAATTGTATTTTTATAGATGAAGCCGGTTTCCACATCAACATGAGACTCAATTGGGCCAGATCGAAAAGTGGAAAAAAGGCCATCGTAAAGCAACCACAAACCAGAGCACCAACACATACAATCATTGGTGCCATTCGCTCCTCTAGCATTATTCACGTTGCGAAGAAGCTTTTAAAGGAAGTTATATAGTTCTAGATAATGCTTCTATTCATAAGTCTAAGCCGATGAGAAGAAAGATCGAGAGTAAGGGTTACAGAGTAATGTATCTGCCTCCCTACTCGCCTGAATTGAACCCTATTGAACAGTTTTGGGCAATAGTTAAAGGGAAGATGAAGCGTGACAGACTAATGAATGAAGAAAATCTGTCTAGTAGAATTACTGATGCTTGTAATGATATACTCATCAGTGACCTTAATGGTTTCTGTAATCATTCTAAGCGCCAAATTGTTAATTGTTATAATAAGACACCTTTCTAATATACAGTCGTTCCAACGCCAAAGGGCGGTTTTCTAATAAAGCTTCCCAAAGGACGCTTTTAATTTTTCCAAAAGGCGGTTTTGATTCATCCAATGAGCGGTTTAATTTTCCCAAAGAGCGGTTTTTATTTTTTCAAAAGGGTGGTTTTTTTTTTTAAAGCTCAGGCCATCGTGTCCTCTATCGTGTCCTCTATCGTGTCCTCTATCTTGTCCTCTATCTTGTCCATTTCTTTCTAAAGCTCAGGCTATCTTGGTATCCTTATCAACAATGACTACTACCAGTAGAGAGCGTGCAATATGCATGTTCTACCATTGAGATTATGACAAGACTAAAGCCAGTGAACTACTCAATGCTATTGAAAAACTAGATCTCGAAATTTGTTATAAAGATGATCCCTGTAAACCATTTCTGCTATATACAAATTCCATAAAAGCAGATCCGTATAATTATCTTGCTTATCAAAAGATAACTGAAGCTCCTGAAAAAAACAATCAAAGTGAAGTTAAAACGAAAAAAATTGGTAAAGTTTTAGCAAAAAAGAAAATGCTTTGTATTTTCGATTATTCATAGATAAACTTTTTGTTTAGTCAATCAAGCTCAACTCATAAATTTTCTGAACACTGCATTTTTACCAGTAAACCCAAACAATGAAGAAGCTTATGCTTGCAAAAGCTTAAGCATAGTGATATTCTAAGCGTTGTTTGGAAATACGCGGATATTTTCAGTGAAAAAACTGCTTATGGTTTTGGCAAATGGTGTAACTCAAGAAAATTGTGTTTGACTGAAAGTGGAATAAAGAGAAAATTCAATGATCTACAACAGAAAGCTTCAGTACGCTCACTCTATGTTTTAAAGGATGAGTATATCGGTAAGACATACAGTAACCGTTCATAATTTTATTGGATCATAATTAACCTAGCATTTAGACAATGTAATAGAAGACATTGTGAACCATTTACCTCGCTATCAAAAATTTATTCAGAGTTTAAAAGACGAAGGTTATCATGTGATAGGCTATGCGAGAAAGTCTCATGCAAAAAAGATGATGACTCACGCGTTCGTTTGTTGAATCTAATGTGCAAAAACTTGAAGAACAGGTCCTTAGTTAGCAAGGTTTTCGCCTCTGTTTACTGTTTATGCAAATGAATCGTTATTGGAAAGGGACTTAAACAAGCAAGAACATATATTGTCACAGATACATGCAGATGGTGATATGCAAGGTGAGAAAGGAAACGTTATGGCATCATGATCATAACTAAATTTTAGTTTATTCATTAGATATGCTGGTGTATATTTCTTCATTGGAGAGAGTCTGCATTGTGGCAATTGATTTTGTGGGACTAACGACAAATTGTGAAGATTTGAAAGTGTTCTTAAAGTATGTCCTTTTTTTTTAAAAAAAGAAAAAAAGAATTGAAATGGCTACGCACGGTCTATAATAATAGGAACAATCCAAATATCGACAAATTAGCCAGCTGTGACGCCAGTCATGTCTATGATACACAGGAACTTTTGAACGATTCTGACAAGATTAAAGTATTTGACTGTAGAAAAAAGGCTCTACAGAGATCTAAATGATCTTTATCACAAAGTATAAATAAAGCGATTTTATTTCATTTCAAAAAGAAATCGAGATTAAGCCCTAAAATGGCTTTGTAGCGAAAACAAATAACGAAATCGAAGCCGTTATTTAATTGGGAGCTTGTTTCTATTTGCTATATCTTTTTTTTTTTTTAGTAAAGCATGATACTGATGACATTCAGGATCATGAATTAGACTTCTGATTGAGTACAAAATCGGTTTACAGGGATCATCTTTATAACAAATTTCGAGATCTAGTTTTTCAATAGCATTGAGTAGTTCACTGGCTTTAGTCTTGTCATAATCTCAATGGTAGAACATGCATATTGCACGCTCTCTACTGGTAGTAGTCATTGTTGATAAGGATACCAAGATAGCCTGAGCTTTAGAAAGAAATGGACAAGATAGAGGACAAGATAGAGGACACGATAGAGGACACGATAGAGGACACGATAGAGGACACGATGGCCTGAGCTTTAAAAAAAAAAACCACCCTTTTGAAAAAATAAAAACCGCTCTTTGGGAAAATTAAACCGCTCATTGGATGAATCAAAACCGCCTTTTGGAAAAATTAAAAGCGTCCTTTGGGAAGCTTTATTAGAAAACCGCCCTTTGGCGTTGGAACGACTGTATATTAGAAAGGTGTCTTATTATAACAATTAACAATTTGGCGCTTAGAATGATTACAGAAACCATTAAGGTCACTGATGAGTATATCATTACAAGCATCAGTAATTCTACTAGACAGATTTTCTTCATTCATTAGTCTGTCACGCTTCATCTTCCCTTTAACTATTGCCCAAAACTGTTCAATAGGGTTCAATTCAGGCGAGTAGGGAGGCAGATACATTACTCTGTAACCCTTACTCTCGATCTTTCTTCTCATCGGCTTAGACTTATGAATAGAAGCATTATCTAGAACTATATAACTTCCTTTAAAAGCTTCTTCGCAACGTGAATAATGCTAGAGGAGCGAATGGCACCAATGATTGTATGTGTTGGTGCTCTGGTTTGTGGTTGCTTTACGATGGCCTTTTTTCCACTTTTCGATCTGGCCCAATTGAGTCTCATGTTGATGTGGAAACCGGCTTCATCTATAAAAATACAATTTTTTGTAAAATCCAGATCAGAATCTTTCCATTTCATAAACCATTCGAATCGTGTCTGGAGATTCTCTACTGAGTTTTTAACTTCAGGTTCGAAATATGGCTTTTTTATAGTGATAAGCATAGTATTACGTAAATGGTTGTTCATTTGCGATTTTGAAATGGTGAAGCCTTCGAATTATTCAGCCAAGCTATTTATTATATCGTCCGCAAATATCTGAGGGTCGTTGTCAAGTAGCTTGGTAATGTACTCGTTATGCTCAGTTGTAAATGAGCTTTTTGGACCACTGTTTTTTTTCACTATTTTTATACGGCACTCCTTCCGTTTCTTCATAAATGTTGCCACCAATTCAGTGCAGTACGGTATTTCAACGGCTTCGTAACTGATGGTTCACCAGTAGCTTTTTCGGGGCGTTTAGCACTCAAGTAAGTTTCTCGATTGGTTATCGTTTCAAGAACTATATTGGGATCGTCAATTTGTGTTAAAACATCTTCCATTGGATCGTAAACTTTTTCTCCATGTTCATTGAGAAGGTTTTCTTGTCCATCTTCATAAAAGAATGTAGTCATTGTTATGTTATATTTTTATAAAGAAGCAAAAAGGACAAAAAAAAACCGCCAAAAACATCTGCCAATTAAATGCAATTCTTCGGCTAATTTTAGTTACCAACTTGTGCCAAAAATAATTTAACCTTGTGACATTTATTTTTTAAAGTCCGATCTTTTTTTTTGACTTTCGGCCAATTGTTTTTTAGAAAACGCCAATTTCCATAAGCCTGACTGTATCATGTCTTATTACGGCACTTTACCCACACATACTCACGAAGAAGAGCAAGAGATCACTTGGCGTCACAAGCTTGGAGAGTATTTAGAAGACCAAAAGTTTCATATTGGCATTCTATGTCTGACATTAGTCGATGCTGCTTCTGTGTTCATTCAAATCATTTATACCTTCTTTCACGAATGTCAAGCTCCTTTTAACAAGATACACAATAATACTCATTGGTTAATTGTTGCCTTTGAAATGGCAGAAGTTATCAGTGTTTGTATCTGTGTCTTATTTATGCTCGAAATTATCTTGTCTCTTATTGCGTTTGGTCCGCGATATTTTCTGCCTGGTTGGCCACACTGGAAGCTTCATGTATTCGATGCTGCAGGTAGGGGATTGAATAGTCAAGAAAAACTAAAACTCATATATTTATGTCTAGTGGTTATTACAACATTTGTACTGGAGATCGTGTTAAAAGGAAAAGAAAGAGAAGTAGCTGGGTAAAAAAGAAAAAAGAAAAGGGAAAAGGGGGACATTAACTTTTTTTGATCAGGTTATTGATCATATTCCGTCTTTGGCGTGTTGTCAAGGTGATTGAAGCGGTAGTACTAAGCATAAGCTTTACACATCAAGAAGAACTGGAAAAGTTAAAGGAGCGTAATGAAGAACTACAAGAAAAATTAAAGCAAGTAGAGCAAAGGAATAGAGAATTAGAACAGCAAGTCGAGCAAAATTGAAGAGAAATTTATTAGTGTCTATAATGTATGTACAATGAGCTATGCTTCTTGGTTATTATTGGTGGCGGCATTATTGTTATTACTTGTATTGTAGTTTGATAAATAAGAAGAAGCTAATATAAACATGGGTCTTCGTTTTGAACTATTCTGTGAAGGAGATAGCGGTGAATCTGGTTTGGGTGATTCAGCAGATTTGATGTTTGTTGATTTTTTCTTTTCCTTCTTGGTTGACTTGGCTTCATCAGTATTTATAAATTTATTTACATCGGTTACATGCTTAAACGTGAGTTGATTGTTCTTTTGTTTAGCAATATTCAGATTATTCAGAATGGCATCGTTCGTCGGATTATTTACATTCGCTGTCCTCTCACGGGCCATCCTGAGCGCACTGTGAGCTAATCGAACATTTTTGCTATATCGGATCTTCTTTCCATTGCTTGTTCGTTTTGGAACAGTTGTTGGTGGTATAAACTCAAGAGGCTGTGGTGAAGGTGCATCAAAGATATTGCTGTTCAAATTTAAATTGTCTACAGAAAGCGAATTTAAAAAGTCTAGTGAACTTATATCCATCATCTCTGTCGATGCCTGCTCTTGCTCTGCTTGTTGCATTGTAGTGGCTGAGGTTGTTTGTGATGATGACATCTGAAGGCTGCTGTTGGTATTATTGCTAGTGCCTTGAGATTCGTCGTTGTTCAAGTCTAGAGGTTCGAAAAGATCACTGTTGAACATTTCATGAAACAGTGCCATCTCATTCATTGACGTATCCTGATCCTCCTTTTTAGTGACTGTAGGACCGTTATCTTTTTGATTACCACAGTTTTCTGGTGTAGAAGGCATATTCACTGACAATCCAAATGATATATCTTGTATGATCTTGTTTAATCGCTTCACTTCCTCTGTCAAATCATCAACTGTCTTGTGCAATCTTCCACAATATCCTTCGCAGTGAGCCTTTGCTTGGTTTAACGTGCCAATAAATGGACACCCTTCATGTGCATATGGACATGTATAAGATTGGCATTCGTTCTCGTGCTTCCCTAGATCCTTTCTTAAAAATGGTTGGCATAAAGGCATATTATTTGGACATGTCATCTGCTGATATGGACATTCATCTATATGTTGCTTCATGTTGATCTTTAACAAATTCTTTTCTGTGCATCCATTTTCCGTATTGGGACATGGGAAGAGCACATATTCACACTACATTCAATGAGTTTTTGATGGCATAAAGTTATCTTTATCTGCTTACATGTTCTATGTGGTTATCTCCTCGAAGACCTTGCCATGGACAACCATTGATATGATTAGGGCATTGAATGCGCAGTCGACTGATCTGCCTTTGTGCAAATTTCGATAGTTGGAAAGAAGTTTTGTCGATGGCTGTGAAGCATAATGGGCAAGTGTTTTCTGTTTCTATATGCTTTTGAATACATTTACTACAAAATAAATGATCTATTCATTTGTTAATGACAACATTCTGAGATTGAGTATACTGAGCTATACCTTCTGGACAATGAACTTGAATAGGCTCATCCAAGACATCTAGTATATGTTAGTACTGTGTCCTTTTCTTCTTTTGTTACCTTACCTTGACAGATACCACATAGTAACTCAGGACAAGGTTCTCCTATCAAAAGGTCTATCTGTCTAAGCATACACACAAGAGAATATATGATAAGTGAAAAAAGGGAAATAAAAAAGGTTTTTACGACAACGCGAAGAAAAAGTCTCCCCTAATATGGGAATGTACAAAAAAACTACGCGTTCACGAAAAAAATCTCTTGCGTGAAAAACACGTCTGACTAATCGCCGATTTAATTCATTCATTATAGCAAAAAAAAAAAGGTCCAAAGCATATCAATAGGCTTTATTATAAGCATTATAAAATATTGTTTATCAAGACACGAAAAGAATGTCTTTACAAAATGAATACAAGTTTGCTTGTTGACATGAAAGGAACTTAATTTAGACAGCTAGCATAAAGATTTGAGTTGTAACCTATAAACGGAATTGCATGCAATGCATCTGCTGTACGTTCAATGACAGTTCTGAAAGCATAGAAAGTTATACAGAGTTTGCTTCAAAATCTGCAGGTGTTGTGTCTAGTTACTCAAAATCTGTTGCTGCGAAAAGGTAGTAATGTCGATAAAAATCTACAGAAAAAA